AAGAGACTACTACAAGCAACTCTAGGCCAATAAAATGAACAACCTGGAAGAAATGGACACATCCTTAGAAAGGTATAACGCTCCAGGACTGAACCAGGAAAAAATAGAAAATATGAACAGACCAATCACAAGTAATGAAATTGAAGCTGATTTTAAATCTTCCAACAAACAAAAGTCCAGGACCAGATGGTTTCACAGGTGAATTCTATCAAACATTTAGGTAAGAGCTAACACCCATCCTTCTCAAACTCTTCCAAAGAATTGCAGAGGAAGGAACACTCCCAAACTCATTCCATGAGGCCACCATCACCCTGATACCAAAACCAGACAAAGATGTCTCAAAGAAAGAAAACTACAGGCCAATATCACTGTTGAACATAGATGCAAAAATCCTCAACAAAATACTAGCAAAGAGAATCCAACAACACATTAAAAGGATCATACACCATGTTCAAGTGGGATTTATCCCAGGGATGCAAGGATTCTTCAATATATGCAAATCAATCGATGTGATACATCATATTAACAAATTGAAGAATAAAAACCATATGATCATCTCAATAGATGCAGAAAAAGCTTTTGACAAAATTCAACACCCATTTATGATAAAAACTCTCCAGAAAGTGGGCATATAGGGAACCTACTTCAACATAATAAAGGCCATATACAACAAACCCAGAGCAAACATCATTCTCAATGGTGAAAAACTGAAAGCATTTCCTCTAAGATCAGGAACAAGACAAGGATGTCAACTCTCACCACTATTATTCAACATAGTTTTGGAAGTTCTAGCCACAGCAATCAGAGAAGAAAAAGAAATAGAAGGAATACAAATTGGAAAAGAATAAGTACAACTATCACTCTTTGCAGATGACATGATACTGTACATAGAGAATCCTAAAGATGCCACCAGAAAACTACTGGAGCTAATCAATGAAGTTGGTAAAGTAGCAGGGTACAAAATTGATGCACAGAAATCTCTTGCATTCCTATACACTAATGATGAAAAATCTGAAAGAGAAATTAAGGAAACACTCCCATATACCATTACAACAAAAAGAATAAAACACCTAGGAATAAACCTACCTAGGGAGACAAAAGAGCTGTATGCAGAAAACTATAAGACAGTGATGAAAGAAATTAAAGATGATACCAACAGATGGAGAGATATACCATGTTCTTGGATTGGAAGAATCAATATTTTGAAAATGACTATACTACCCAAAGCAATCTACAGATTCAATGCAATCCCTATCAAATTACCAATGCCATATTTTACAGAACTAGAACAAAAAATCTTAAAATTTGTATGGAGACACAAAAGTCCCCGAATAGACAAAGCAGTCTTGAGGGAAAAAAACGGAGCTGAAGGAATCAGGCTCCCTGACTTCAGACTATACTACAAAGCTACAGTAATCAAGACAATATGGTACTGGCACAAAAACAGAAACATAGATCCATGGAACAAGATAGAAGGCCCAGAGATAAACCCACACACCTACAGTCAACTAATCTATGACAAAGGAGGCAAGGATATACAATCGAGAAAAGACAGTCTCTTCAATAAGTGGTGCTGGGAAAACTGGACAGTTACATGTAAAAGAATGAAATTAGAACACTCCCTAACACCATACACAAAAATAAACTCAAAATGGAATAGAGACCTAAATGTAAGACCGGACACTATAAAACTCTTAGAGGAAAACATAGGAAGAACACTCTTTGACATAAATCACAGCAAGATCTTTTTTGATCCACCTCCTAGAGTAATGGAAATAAAAACAAAAATAAACAAATGGGACCTAACGAAACTTTAAAGCTTTTGCACAGCAAAGGAAACCATAAATAAGACGAAAAGACAACCCTCAGAATGGGAGAAAATATTTGCAAATGAAGCAACTGACAAAGGATTAATCCCCAAAATATATAAATAGCTCATGCAGTTCAATAGTAAAAAAATGAACAACCCAATCCAAAAATGGGCAGAAGACCTAAATAGACATTTCTCCAAAGAAGACCTACAGATGGCCAAGAAGCACATGAAGAGCTGCTCAACATCACTAATTATTAGAGAAATGCAAATCAAAACTACAATGAGGTATCACCTCACACCAGTTAGAATGGGCATCATCAGAAAATCTACAAACAACAAATGGGTGTGGAGAAAAGGGAACCCTCTTGCACTGTTGGTGGGAATGTAAATTGATACAGCCACTATGGAGGTTCCTTAGAAAACCAAAAATAGAACTACCATATGATCCAGCAATCCCACTACTGGGCATATACCCAGAAAAAAACATAATTCAAAAAGACACATGCACCCCAATGTTCACTGCAGCACCATTTACAATAGCCAGGTCATGAAAGCAACCTAAATGCCCATCGACAGACAAATGGATAAAGAAGATGTGGTGCATATATACAATGGAGTATTACTCAGCCATAAAAAGGAAGGAAATTGGGTCATTTGTTGAGACGTGGATGGATCTAGAGACTGTCATACAGAGTGAAGTAAGTCAGAAAGAGAAAAACAAATATCGTATATTAACGCATGTATGTGGAGCCTAGAAATATGGTACAGATGAACCGGTTTGCAGGGCAGAAATCGAGACACAGATGTAGAGAACAAATGTATGGACACCAAGCGGGGAAAGCCACGGTGGGTGGGGGTGGTGGTGTGATGAATTCGGCAATTGAGATTGATACGTATACACTTAAGTGCATAAAGTTGCTGACTAATAAGAACCTGCTGTATAAAAAGATAAATAAAATTCAAAAATTAAAAAAAAAGAATCAAATTGTATACCTTAAATCTACACAGTACTGCATGTCAATTATATCTCAATAAAGCTGAAAAAATTTAAGTTATTTATTTGTAGAAGAAAGTGATGAACAGGTTAATATATCCAGCCATGGCCCCTATCCCACAAGAGTTGACAACCTAAAGAAGACAGCACTGACACAGGCAAAATTTAAGAAGTCGAGGAAAAATACACCAACAACTTAGCCACATTAAAGTTACACATGAATTCAATAAAGTATTTACATTATGCTTCCTCCACTTCTCTTTCCTTTTCATGTGCTCTCCAAGAATTTGGAAGGTGAAAAGCAGCCAAAATGAAGTTATATAGGGTTAGAAGTCCTTTTCCCACATCTTTAATCATCTTTGTGACTCTCCTCTGAACCCATTTCAAGGGAATGCAGAAACACTGGAGCTGTCCTTAGAGAGCAGGAGGAAGGTGGTGGAGGGAGGAGTGAGGGACAGAAAGGTGGTGAGGTAAACCAAGCCTCACATTTCCACCACAGACACTGTACCAGGTGTGACGTGTGCACCCTCTAAGGGCTCTCCTGCTTCTGGGTGTCCCTGGCTATTATTATAGCTTCCTACTGGGTGTACAGAAGACAGTCGTCATGTCATCCACCTTTTTATCCTCTCCCCTCAACAGTGCCTAAATATTCAGGATCTAGCAAGCATTTTATTTCCACCTGAGTGGGCCTTCTACTTCCTATGCAGAGCTTCAGCAGGCCATACTGTATGCAAGTGTGATTTAAATGAATGCTTAACCAGAGAGCCCAGAAATAAACCCACACACCTACGGTCAATTAATTTTCGACAAAGGAGGCAAGAATATAAAACAGGAAAAAGACAGTCTCTTCAGCTACTGGTGCTGACAAAGTTGGACAGGTGCATGTAAATCAACGAAGTTAGAACACACCCTCTCATCATGCACAAAAATAAACTCAAAATGCCTTAAAGACTTAAACATAAGACATGACACCATAAAACTCCTAGAAGAGAATATAGGCAAAACATTCTCTGACATAAATCATACCAGTGTTTTCTTAGGTCAGTCTCCCAAGGCAACAGAAATAAAAACAAAAGTAAACAAATGGGACCTAATCAAACTTACAAGCTTTTGCACAGCAAAGGAAACCATAAACAAAATGAAAAGAATGGGAGAAAATATTTGCAAATGATGCACCCAACAAGGGCTTAATTTCCAAAATATACAAACAACTCATACAACACAACAACAAAAAAACAAACAACCCAATTGAAAAACGGGCAGAAGACCTAAATAGACATTTCTCCAAAGGAGACTTAAAGATGGCCAGTAGGCACATGAAATGATGCTCAACATTGCTAATTATTAGAGAAATGCAAGTCAAAACCACAATGAGATACCAACCCACACTGGTCAAAATGGCCATCATTAAAAAGTCTACAAATAACAAATACTGGAGAGGGTATGGAGAAAAGGGAACCCTCCTACACTGTTAGTGGGAATGTAAGCTGGTGCAGCCACTATGGAAAACAGTATGGAGGTTCCTCAGGAAACTAAAAACAGAATTACCATATGATCTAGCAATCCCACTCCTGGGCATATATCTGAACAAAAGTATAATTCAAAAAGATATATGCACCCCTATGTTCATAGCAGCACTATTCACAATAGCCAAGACATGGAAACAACCTAAATGTCCATCGACAGATGAATGGATAAAGAAGATGTGGTACATATATACAATGGAATACTACTCAACCATAAAAAAGAATGAAATAATGCCATTTGCAGCAACATGGGTGTAACCAGAGATTATCAATACTAAGTAAGTCAGAAAGAGAAAGACAAATACCATATGATATCACCTTTATGTGGAATCTAAAATATGGCACAAATGAACCTATCTATGAAACAGAAAGAGACGCAGACATAGAGAACAGACCTGTGGTTGCTTGGCAGGGGCGGGGAATGAACTGGGAGTTTGGGGTTAGTAGATGGAAACTATTACATATAGAATGGATAAACAGGTCCTACTGTAGAGCACAGGGAACTATATTCAATATCCTGGGAGAAACCATAATGGAAAAGAATATGAAAAAGAATGTCTATATATGTATAACTGAGTCACTTTGCTGTACACCAGAAATTAACACAACATTGTAAATCAACTATATTTCAATTAAAAAAAGAAGAAAAAAATAAAAGGATATTTACCTTTTTAAGTTGGTCCTGTCGCCACTATCTGAGCTTGCCACAGACGAAGTATCATAGGAGTGAGAATCAATAGTATCAATATTTAACAATGTAGGATCTTCAAGAACAAAAGAATCATCTTCATCATCAGTCTAAATTAGAAGAACATGGATAAATAAATTCAAAATTCCAAATACTCTATCAGTCAAATAGGCGTTAATGGGTTTCTCCAAAACACTCATATGCTTATTCTGTTTTTCACCCATTTTTCACGCATTGTTGTTGACCAGAGAGGCATAGTACAGAATTAAATTTCAACTCTAGTTATCTCTCCCTACAAAGAGTTCACTCCAAAAATTTCTTTCTTGTAGCTGGAAGAAGTAGGAGCAGTTATGCAGATTATTGTTAGTTGCCAAATATTTCTTAAAATTCAAACGTGTATAGATGCTTTACTAGTTAACTAACAGCCAATGGCTAATTGAAGAAAATAAATACCACCTGACTATAGATAGTTTACCTTAAGAAATATGACAAGCAGGCAGAAGAAAGGCATTCTGGGTTGGAAACAGCATGTGCAAACACAGTGATTTCATAATATGAATTTTGCCCATGAAAAAGGAAGTAGTCTAAAATGAATGGAGTATTTGAGTAGGAGTTGGAGGTGATCCTAGAAAGATAAGCTGGGATCCAAATTGTAAAAGTCTTATATTCCATTAAGCTAGGTGATAGGAGGGCCCTATCTGTCCACCACTGTAACCCTAGTGCCTAGTACAATGCCTGACACATAATCAGTACTCATTTACTTAATAAATTAATGTACTATATACAGTAGGCAGTGGGAAGGCAACTGAGATCTTTAAAAAATGTACACATGATGGGAACCATGCTTTAGAAAGATAAATGGGGCAGTATGAAGATGGATGAGGGTAGAGGAGGAGACAGGCAGGGAGACTAATAAGAACCAGCAAGATGGCTATTGCAATGTCAAGGAAAGACAGGAGAGTTCAGTCTAGGAATGCAGCAGAAGGGGTCAAGAGAAGGAATAAGGAAAGAGACATTACTGAGGTAAAATCCAAAATTCCTGGTTACCATTTAAACAGTGTGTTTTGAGGGGTTGGGGGGGTTAAGAAAGAAGTCAAAGAAGATTCCAAGGTTTCCAGCTTGAGCAACTAGCAAAAGGTGACACTACTAACTGAGATAAGACAGCAAAAAGAATAGCAGATAAAGCAGAATGAGTTTAGCTTTGAACAAGCTGATTCTGGGCAACAGACATTAAAGAAAAAAGTTCTGATCTTACCTCCTCTTTCAGCTGGACTACCTTCTGCCTTATCATTTCCATTCATATTCTTAAGAGAGCAGAGCAGTCCATACTCATTAACTCCACTTTCTCCACCCATTACCAGCTACTGACTACTACTCTTGCTGAAGTTACTAGTCAAATCCACCAGCCTATTTTCCGTTAGCATGCTCTTGTCCTGTACGCATCACTTAACACTACTGGCCATGCCCCACTTCTTGAAACTTTCTCTTCCCTTTGTTTCCAATACATCTCTTTGCTACTCCTTCAACTTATGTGGCCTCTTCTATCAGTCATGTTCTCTACTTGTCCTCAGCCCAACCTTTAAGTGATGTTGTTCCCCAGGATTATATTCTTGTCTCTTCCTACTTCACACACTTCCTACGTGAACAAGCTAATCCATACTTATAGTTTCAAGTATAATGTCATGCTAATGACTCCATGCTAATGTCATGCTAATGTATCTTTAGTACCAACATTTCTCTTGCAGTTTAGGCCATATTTCTGACTGTTTTTCAGATATCTTCACACACAAGATTGCTAAGAACAGGATGAGGGTTAGCAAGGAGCTACTGTGTTACTTGAGAGCTGTACAAGAATGGAAGGACTCCCATAAGGAAAGGTAACAGAAACAATTCATAAATAAGAACTGCAGCACCAAGGTCTTAAGCAAGAGAATCAATCAGGATCTTATCTGATTTTCTTAAGCAGCCAGAGACATAATTAAAGAAAACATATTAGCTAAATTAAGCCAGGGTTGAGGCTTACAGGATAAGTGGGGGGAAAAAAATGAGGAAGAGAATTGAGGGTATCAGTAAGGCTGAATTTAAAATTACTAGCTACACAGTAGAGCTATCAATTCTCACAAATTGATGTGTAAAATCTACATAAGCCTATCAAACTTCAGCTGGGGTGTATGTGTGTGTGTGTAAACTAGTAAAGTGATTCTCAAACTTACGTGGAAATGAAAAAGACCAAGAATAAGCAAGGCAATCTTGAAGAACAACAACAAAGCTGGAAGATTTGAAACTGCTAGATATCAAGACCTATTATAAAGGTTCAGACATCAGAGTGTGCTATTGGGGCAAGTATAGAAAGACCCATGAAATCACACCAACACATATGATCACCTGATTTAAAACAGAAGTGACACCGCAGAAAAGAACAGTGCTCAGTAAGTGCTGCTGCCTCATACCGCACACCATCACACACAAAAATTTCAGATTAATTGCAGATCTAATGTGAAAGGCAGAACAATGAAGATTTTAAAACAAAATAAGATAGCATCATCATGACTTTGGAATCGGCAAAATTTTCTTCAACTGGACGCACCAAAAAACTAATCATAATGGAAAAATTTAATAAGCTGAACTACTACTAAGAACTTCTGCTCATCAAAAGAAACCATTGAGAGTGAAAAAGTAACCCACAGAATGGAAGAAGATATTTGCAATACATATATCTAATAAAAACTTATATCCATCAAATATAAAGAACTCTTATAAATAAGTTTTTTAAAAATCAATTGAATAGAAAAGTGGGCGAAAGACATGAAAAAGCAATTCACAAAAGAGATATCCAAGTGGCCAGAACATACGAAGGTACCCCAATTTCATCAGTCTTCTGGGAAATTCAGATTAAAACTATGATGTGATATCACTACACACCTACAACTATGGATGGCTAAAGTGAAAAAGAGAGAAAAATTCAGAAGTTGATGAGGATATGGTAACCAGAACTTCCATATATTGCTGTAGGAAGTATGTATTACCACAACCACTTTGAGGAACCTGTGGCAGTATCAACCAAAGCTGAACATGCCCATACCTGGTGACCTAGCAATTCTACTCTTAGGTACATACCCAGCAGAAATGTGTGTGTGAGTGCGTGTGTATGTATGTGTACACATGTGTGTATGTATCTAAAGATATGAATAAGAATATTCACAGCAGCACTCTTCATAGCAGCCAGAAACCAGATATTATAAAACTGCCCATAAACAGTTGAATGAATAAATAATGGTATATAACAAAGAATTTTATACAACAATGGGAATGGATGAACAATTGCATGCAGCAAAAATATGAATAAATCTAAAAACACAATATCGAGGGAAGTAAGTCAGATGCACAAAAGCACAAACTGTATAATTCCATTTATATGAAGTTCAAAGCAGCCAAGGCAGTCAATGCCGGTAGAAGTCAGGATAGTGATTATCCTGGTTGGGTACTGAAGGAGCACAAGAGGAGCTTCTGGGGTGCTAGTAATGTTTCATTTCTTCATCTGGACTCTGGTTACACAGAGCATTCTGTTTGTGAAAATTCACCAAGCAGTACACTTACGACCTGTGCACTTTTTCTATATGTATGTTGTACCTCAATTAAAAGTTCAAAAGAAATTTCTGGCTGCACAAGCCAACAGTAGAACTGAAGTGAAGCCAGGGCTACTCTCAGACACTGGGAGACTAAGAAGGATCAAGAGACTTGGTCCTGAAGAGGTCAAAGAGCATGTTTAATGGAGGTAAGAGAACGTGGGGGTAGGGGGAGGATTGTTAGGATTAGAGAACAAAATTTCAAAATTAAAAACCTCAGAAGTAGCATAGTTTCAAAGGATGACAAGGCCTAGTAACATTATTTCATGCCCTAAATTCTGAGATTTAGGATGTCTCAGTCATCTCTTTCTGTAAAATATCTTGGATGTACACTTCTTCCTAGCACCTCGTCAGGTTGATATTAACGAACTTCATAGAATATATGCACCCACGTATCCTGAAGTAAGTGCTTATTTATTTACACTTTCTACTTCTGTCTTTTTTTTCTTTCTTAAAATCATTTTCTTTCATACTTCTTCCCCCTTTTTCTCTTCATAACATTCTACAACTTAAATTATTTTTACTTTCACTTATTCCCTTGCCTCGCTCCCTGGTGGTATGAAAGCTGGCCAATTTCCAGTCCTATTTCTCTCTCAAAGTCAGAGACTGTCATGCAGCACTTTATAATCCCAGCATCTAACACTATGACCCAAATACACAAGGCACCCAAATTACTATTGAGGATGATAACAGTATTATCCTCTCAGTAAACCACTAATGACTATACTTGCTGTTACTAGTAGATAAGTAAATATTGCAAAGACAGTTTTCCTTCATTATGAACTACAGTCTCATTCATGAGCATTATTTTCTTTGCCATTATTATATAAAGATGTACAAATAGGGCTTTGTACACAGTCCTCTAAGATTATTTTTATTCTTCACTTAGTAACTGAAATAATATGTGATTAAGACCATGTTATCAAAACTGACTAAAATTAATGTCTTCATTGCAAATGAAAGATTTCCTCTATATTAGGAAGCAATAAATAACCATCACTGTAACAGGATATTCTTTCATTGACCAAAGACTTCTTTGTCAAAATTAAAAACGCTTAAGTCTTACTAACACAGATCATACATAACAGTTCTGAAGTTAAAATACATTCAAAGAAACAGCGACATCAAGCTGATATTTTTAAAAAAAGAAATAAAAGAAAAATAAAAGATACAATTCACTGAGAAAGTAGTTTGCAAGTATAGATAAAGAAGTAATAAAGACCAGGGCCCAACCCACTCAGACATATGGGGTCAGTGGGCATTTCTATTGAGGAAGCTTTGCATCATTATCTTTTAGAAAACACAACTATGTATCTGAAATAGATTTTTAAAAATCTTTCTGAGGGCTTCCCTCGTGGCGCAGTGGTTAAGAGTCCGCCTGCCGATGCAGGGGACACAGGTTCGTGCCATGGTCTGGGAAGATCCCACATGCCGCGGAGCTGCTGGGCCCGTGAGCCATGGCCACTGAGCCTGCGCGTCCGGAGCCTGTGCTCCGCAACGAGAGAGGCCACAACAGTGAGAGGCCCAGTGAGAGGCCCACGTACTGCAAAAAAAAAAAAAAAAATCTTTCTCAAATTAGAAGCTAAAGCCTCCAATGGGAGTCTTAAGCAAGTTTTTAAAGATCAAGAAGACTGAGCTGAAGAATTGTCAGCAGATGCAGGGTACAAAAAAACTGGCACACTTCACCAACATGTACTTCCACAGAGCTCCTTTATAAAGCCTTTATGATCTGCTAATTCAGAAAGGAACATCATTTCATAACTCTAAAAACCTTTTTAATAGAGATGGTATTCACAAGATAAACTATGGAGGCTTCGTTTTCTTTATACAGAACAGTGATGAAGTGCATTACAAGGCTGCAGATGCTCTTTTGTATCAGAGGATGAGCTATTTGAATATCACTGGTAGAGATAACATTATAAAAACATAACACAAATCTCAAAAGTGTCATGAATTTAGTATTTCAACTCACTTACTAAAACATTTCTTTAATCTACCAAGTATAAGGCATTGTACTGGGCACAGAGATGAACAAGACATAGCTTCTGCCCTTGAGAAGCTCACAACCTAGATCAGCATGTCCAACAGAACTTTTTGCAATAATGGAAATATTCTGTATCTATGCTGTTTACTACAGTAGCCACTAGCCACATGTGACAACTGAGCACTTGAAGTGTGCCCTGTATAACTGAGTAAATGAAGTTTTAATTTTTATTTAACTGTAATCAATTTAAATTTAAATTGTCACATGTGACTATTGGCTCCCATATTCGACAATGCAGGTCTAGAGACATACACCATAACCCAGAAGTATTCAAATCAATGCCATAAAATGGTAGCGATCATTAGGATATACTTACTTCATTTAGTATGCTTTCCAGTGTTGGAGGAGTATCAACTTGAGGAATATCAAACTCCTTATCGTCAATCTAAATAGAGAAAAGAAATTAATGCTCACATAATAATGCTTTCCCTCTTATAATTGTGAGGGCGTTTTAACTGATTAGAACCATTATCAATTAAGAGACAAACATACCACCAAACTCTTCACACAGACAGCCAACTCAATAATCTATGGTAGAAAGGGTCAGGTCAAAAGACTACAGACTATCTGCATATTCAGTGATCATCGAGGACAAATATGCACTGATGCCACCATCCTGACAGCCCTTTCCAGAAAGCTTCTGTTGAAGGGCTTTGGCATCTGCTTTCTTAAACAAAACAGCATTTCTTACGACAAGCCCTAATTCTCTAAGTTTAGACATAAGCCATAAGCAATACACAAAGGACTGACACTGCATTTCTTAGTATTTCATAAGTTATGGTGGTGGATGATTAGGTCAAACAACTTGTCATTAAATAGTCTCATGGCCACAAAAACCTATTAATATCAAACCAATGAGGAAAAAAATCACTGCACAAGAATTCTAAACCTACCACTAGCTCTATGATATTGAGACATCATTCAACATAGCTGCACTTCAGTTTCTTCCCCCACAAAATGGAGTATCAGTGTTGTGAAGCTCAAATGAGAAGATGTATTAAAGTGTTTCATAAACTGTAATGAGCTATACAAATGAAGAGTAATATTATTGCATGAAACTGTATACAGATGCCTATTAATCTATGCAAAAAATGATATATTTAGAGTCTTTGGATCATAAAGTACACTCTAACCAACATTTTGGTTAAACCTCAAACCTGACAAAAGCTGAATTTTTACCAGATCATTTTTGAACTCCAGTTCCTTGTCCAGATCTATGTAGGAGAATTTTGAAAGTGAAGCTTCCAGATTGAGAGACTTATTCAGTTCTTCATCAGTAGTCTTGGCACAGAGGCTCTGTTCCACATTTTCATGGTCTGGTTCATTGTCCATGTTTACTTTTAATAACTGTATTCGGTCAATCCAAGCAAGTTTTTGTTTGTTTTGTTCTGTTTTTTGGGCTTAGATCATGATGAACTGAATGACGATCTCTTTTCAAAAAAGAAAAAATATTTATCATTTAGATTTCCTCAACTGGACATTCCAAAGACTTACTGGGTCAGACTTCTGTGGAAACTGATTCTTCACTCAATCATCTGACTACAGGCAAACAGAAATCAATCCTAGGGTATGGGTTATGATATGCAGGGAGGGTTTCTATGGCAGCACAAAGGAGGAACATCTGACTCAGGAGTCTAGGAAGTGGTCCACCACCCGAAATCCTAAGTCTGGTGATAGTGACAGACTTGGGGCAAGCTCAGCCACTAGACCTGGTACCAACTAGATTTATGTACCTAAGAATAAGAGGGTAACTGGTGCCAAAAGCTGCAATTAACCCCTTCTTCACACTCCCAAACCTGAGCATATCTCCAGTTCTCCTTGAAGATAAGCATATAGTCCAGTTTTGTCACTGTCATCCATACAGGGCCACAGACCTCTAAGGGAACTTAGTGCAGACACAGAGGGCGCAGAATGGATAGCTAGTCACTTAACAGGACACTAGCAAATCTAAAGGTTCAGATCTATTAGGGGAGACAACAATGATGCCAGGATAAAATAATTCCACAGGGCTTCCCTGGTGGCGCAGTGGTTGAGAGTCCGCCTGCCGATGCAGGGGACACAGGTTCGAGCCCTGGTCCAGGAAGATCCCACATGCCGCAGAGCAACTAAGCCCATGCGCCACAACTACTGAGCCTGTGCTCTACAGCCCACGAGCCACAACTACTGAGCCCACGCACCACAACTGCTGAAGCCCATGAGCTCTAGGGCCTGTGCTTCACAACAAGAGAAGACACCACAATGAGAAGCACGTGCACCGCAATGAAGAGTAGCTCCTGCTCGCCACAACTAGAGAAAGCCCACGTGCAACGAAGGCCCAACACAGCCTAAAATAAATTAATTTATTTTAAAAAAAAAACATGCACTCATGATACAATCTGAGTGTGGGAAGAGTGCCTGCTCACATTTGTATGCTGGTGAGTTTAAGGAACATTTAAAAATAATAAGTTAAAAAATAAAATAACATGCCCAAAACTCACTAACAATTTTATCTGGTTATGGTCATTTTTTTAGTACACTTAAAATGAATTTCACTTCCTTCAATATTTCTTTTTATCATATTTTAAAAAATGAATATCTACTATGCATAAGAAAGACATGCAGACTCATGAAGACTGATTTTTCAAGAGCTGAAACCAACTTTTCTAGCTAGTACATTTGGTACATTACCAAACAGACTAATTCCTTTCACATGTTGCAGAAGATAGACTCTAACGCTCTGTCCTACAAACACATGCTATCAACTACATTCCTAGAAGACATAACTGAGGGCACTCTGTAACTGGCAACATTTGAAAGCATCTTTCCAATCTCGGGTACTAAATGTACTTCTCCTTTTGCAATGAGCCAAAGGCAGGAGCAGTATTAGCGTTTACAAGCCCTTCTTCAAAGAAGACTGAATTGGCTCATGACAAATTACTTCTTAATAAAGTTCACTCTTGTTTGTACCACTTAGCAAAAATGAATTCAATTAGTCAAGGAATGTTTGCAAGCATGCACAAATTCACATTCAGTGTTTCCTGAGTACAGTTAAGTTTTATTCTTACACATTTTTTTAAATAGTGGAAAAGACCACATAACAAGAACAAAAACTTTAAATGATTCAATAACCTAAAATGTTTCATTCTTCACATTTGTGTCCCCAAAATAACTCAGAAAGGAAAACAATTTTTTCCTGGCTCTTTTTAAATCTTCTATCTGGAGTTAATGAAAGGTTCTCAGAACAGCTCAGCATCTGTGAACACCAATACCGCACTGAAGAAGTTTCAAGAAATCAAGCATTCTCTGAAAAAATAACATCATCCTGCCATGCTACCCTACTTCATTTCCAACCTTCACTTCACCGAGCTCCTGTTAGTGTGATGTGGCGGCAAACTGGAAAGAACATAAACCAAAGAGTCCATTAAAACCATATTTGAATCGGGGTTTACCAATTCCTATCTATGACCTTGGTCAATTTGTCTACCCTTTCTGAGCCCCTCTATTTCTACATCTGTAAGATGAAATATTGTGGCCAATTGTGCTGTTTGCCCAGAGCATCACCTCTTGTTCTGGGAAAGCCTCCTTCAAACCATGTGGTTCTTGTAGAGGCTGCCAATCAAAAAGCCCCTGGTAACAGAGGTTGCACAATATAGCCAGGGTCCTTCACCAGGATTCACTAAAATGGAACTGGTAAGGAAGAGCCATTTCCACTGTTCTTTAAACAATAAGGCTGAGCAATATTCCCCACCCTCCACCCCATCCTGTTCTGCAGAAAAGGAGGTCATTTATTCAACACGTATCAACTAAACATCTACTATGCATCTGTCACTGGAGATCTGCCTCTATCAACAGAATTTATACTCTAGGTACAAATTCTCTAGCAAGAATGAAAGCAATCTATAAACAGAAGTGGAGACGAGGAGGAACGAGTGTCCTGATATCACTCAGGCTCCAGGTTCCAGTCTTTTATGATGTTAGCTCCGGCCACAGCTTTCTGGCATTTTGGCTACATAAGCCAACACACTCTCCCAATTTTTCTTTTTTTCGGGTGGGGGTGGGGGGAGGTGGGGGTCACTTACAATTGAGAGTCCTGACTCTTAGGAATGCAACTACCTATTTTGCAGAGTTACTGTGAAGAATAAATGATATAATGACTGTAAAGCACTTAGAATAATGCCTGGACACAGTTTAGGTTTTCAAGAAATTTAAAATTTCCTCAAGATTTCCAAATTCTTCTAAAGTTAAAGACCCTGAAACAAGAATGTGTTAGAATGTGACCTATATTAGGCCAGGTAAATGAGGAACTCTTCCACCAGTTTTTTTAACCTTGGCAGACATTCCCAACTGTTCTCAAGTTCCAGGATCCTATTTATTCACTGACATTCTCTTCCTCCCAAAAGTGTTATATGAGACAGTTTTCAAATTACACTGAAATCAAATCAAGTTTGTTTTTTTTTAAATATACTATATCCCCCAAAAGATATCACAAAATCATGATATGAAAGCAATTTTACACATCAACTTTGTTTCTGGTCATCCCAATCCAAGTATTTCTCTTCTTCCATTTCTTTGTTTTGTTTTATCTTCTTGTGGTTTGTTTTGTGAAGAAAAATGTAATACAGAATTAACTTCTATTTGTTTTCTATTATCTTTCTCTGGTAAATGGACTCTTTTTTAACAGCTCCCCAATGCCTACAGGATAAAATTCCAAATTCTAAGCCATTCCAGGCAGAATAACAGCTCCTTTATGACTAAACTTATTATTTGTATTCAGAGTCCTTCAAGAATAACTTCGAGGACTTCCCTGGTGGCTCAGTGGTTGAGAATCCACCTGCCAATGCAAGGGACACACACAACTACTGAGCCTGCGCTCTAGAACCCACGTGCCGCAACTACTGAAGCCTGTGCACCTAGAGCCCGTGCTCCGCAAGAGAAGCCACCGTGATGAGCAGCCCCCACTCGCGGCAACTAGAGAAAGCCCGCACGCAGCAACGAAGACACAGCACAGCCCAAAAAAAAGAATAGCTACCACTTTCCCTCCATGTCTGCTCACACTAATTCACCTTCCCTTTCCTTTTCCTTCCATTTATCTAAATTCCTTCTTTCCATCCTTCCTTCTGGGAACCTTCCTTCCCTAAACATCCTCTGAATCCAGAATGCATGTCTTCTTTAGAACAGCAGCTTGGCGCTTTCCTTATATTGGTTCATTAGTTAACTTACCATGTGACTACTTCTTTTCTCCCCAGCTGCACAACAGAAATGGGGCCAGGTGTTTTTGTATACTCCACATCACTGGGCTCACTGGCTTGCATAGCTAGGCAGACATTCAATAAATATCTGCCGATCAACACAAGAGCTGGAATATGAGAATAACACCTGTGTTGCAAATTAAATATACCTGTTTTTTGGGTTTTTTTGTTTTTGCGGTACGTGGGCCTCTCACTGTTGTGGCCTCTCCCGTTGCGGAGCACAGGCTCTGGATGCACAGGCTCAGCGGCCATGGCTCACGGGCCCAGCCACTCCGCGGCATGTGGGATCTTCCCAGACTGAGGCACGAACCCGTGTCCCCTGCATCGGCAGGCGGACTCTCAACCACTGTGCCACCAGGGAAGCCCTAAATATACCAGTTTTATTACCTGTAATTGTTAAGCTTCAGATGATATTATTTGACTTATAGCATGCAGGAATCTATGCCATAATAAGCCAAGTTATAATTGAGCTCTACCTTTATGTAATGAGGCCTGTCAACTACAGATGATCATCTTCATCCTTCAGATAGCAGCTAAAACTCTGCTTCCTCAAAAAAGCTTCTTTTTGTCCTGCTCAACTAAACTAGGTTCCTGGTTAATAAGCACCTATAACATTGTTCTCCTTTTATCACACTTACCACATTGCAATAATTTTTCCACGTCTGAACCTCCATTCCCTTCCCTCAACTGGAATGTAGGTTCCAGGAAAATGAAGACCATATCTCCCTTTTTTCATCACTGTATTCCCAGTGCCTAATTACATAGTAGCTATTCACCCCACCAATCCATCCACCTAACCACCTCCCCCCGACCCTCCCTCCCTAGGTAAGCAGCCAAGCAACACTGCATCACTGGCTTCCAGAGCCTTAAACAGCAGTTCTGGTCATTCAAAATAAGATATGGTTAGTCATTCTGCCCACAAAAGCCTCCCACCTTGCAAGTTCCCCTCTTTGCATCTAAGTGAGTTTTTTTTTAATCCCTAACATTGATTTTTTTAAATGATCATTTCGCTCGTGTATGACATGACACAAACTCCAGAATTTCAAATATTTTGTTTTTCTTACATTAATTCAGCCTATAGGCCAAGATGAAAACAGTGAAAATGTATCATGTTCATTCAGTTTATAGGAATTCAACCATTATCTACAGCAAATGGAAAGAGAAGAAAAGAAACGATTCACACAGAGCCAGGGACTCTGCATACCGCTCCACTCAATAACTACAAGCTTCAGAGTATGCATGGGGGGAGGGGGTGGGTATCCACTGGCTTTTTGGTCAGTCTCACTTCTCGCATGCCTCATACACGGCAATCCGTTTCACCTGTCCCAACATCGAGCAAAAACTGGCCGTGCTGGACTTCCTGGGAGATCAGTCTCCAACATGACTCCTTCCCCAGGTACTCAATCTTCAAGGTACTTTTTGAGGGTGATCAAGTTTCACCCTTACTCATCAACTTCAGAAACAGACCCATCTTTCCTTTGGAAGACCACTCCTCCTCCACTTCAACCATGTAATTTTGGTGGTGCTGCCAATCAAATACCCTCTCTACTTGGCCAGAAGAATAAGCTCATGACATTCTTGTATCCAATCTGGCCAACCAGTGTCCTTCCCTGAAACTTATAAATATTGGAGGTAGGAGATTTCTCTCTAGGGTGCTTAAGCTTGGATGACATAACACAAAGGCTGTTATACAGAATGAAGATAATTCACACATTAATTCAAAATTCACTTAAGAATAGAACAGTTTGTTCTTACAAATATATACAGATGACACCCGAAGCTGTAGGTTAAGAGAAGATGTTATCTAAACTCTGTGAAAACTATAAACAAAAGTTAAACATACTTAAGTTCAAAAGGCCTTACTTTTCATTCACATACATAACTGACATTTGGTGTCACAATGGTTGATATGTCTATGAAAGGGTGGGAAAGAGTTGAAAAATCACCAAGAGGTCCCAATATTCTGGAAGACAGAAAACATCCATCTGCTGATGCTGGTCCAGGTACAAAGGAAATGTATAAAGGATAATCAACATACTATTCCCTTGACCTCTGGAAAAAATTTCCTCACATATGTCTCTTTGACATACAAAGCCAATAGTTCAACCAGAATTTTTTCTCCCACTTATCGTTATTCTGCATTCTATGGAACACACCAGCTATTGACAGAGATATCAACAGCTACTCTTCTTAAATTTAACCATGAGCAAACCCATATCTTACACAAACATATGTAGAGCCTCCATCCCCATTTATATTAGAGATACTTGAAACGCACACCTGATACTTAATTTATCTCCTAATCGCAGACATCTGGAGTAAAGTTGGCACCACAAGTTACCGACCACGTTTGGCTTGTTTGCTGTGGGTCGGGGAGTATGGTAGAGGACACAGCCTTCCTGACCATTCTAGTATCAATCTAACATTAGCAGGGTATGAAGGAGGCATGCCTGTTTGGAGAAGGCTCTCCAGCAGTTCCTGACCACCCGTAGCCATGAAACCTTTCTCACTGATACTACTTCATCCCACCTTTCCTCCTTTGAAACACACCCAAACATTTTAGGCAGCTCTGTTTCCATCTGCCCCACCACTCCTTCCCCAAGTACCACACTTGGAGAACTAACCAGGACACAGGAATGGCCTCGAACATCAGAGACCCACGTGTCCCCTGCTGCCCTCACTCTGGGGCACACGTTGCAAGCAGAGAGAAACCGGACCGAGCCTCACAGGGTGCGCACCAATCCTTAGATGGACACCCCATCTAAGCTTCTGCCTCACACTCGGGAAGCACACTTATCCCAGGCCTCGAGGGATGGAGGAGCATACACCTGCGCCCCAGACCCCAAAGGCGGGCTACACACCTGTTCCGCTGCGGGAGGGAAGTGATTACCGGCCTCCAAGTCTCACAATCTGGAGAAGCGGGTGCACCTGCACCTCAGCTTCACATTCTTTGGAACCAACAAGTAGAAGCTGTCTAACCCAAGTTCCAGGCCAAACACAGGACACTCTCCTCCGCCCCAGAGTCAACCCCGCCCGGACGGTGGGCCCTGGTCCTGTTAGCCCATCAGGGGCCGCTCGGTCAGCCACTCCAAGGCCGCCCCGCTGTCGCGCGGGGGAAAGGGCCGAGGCTCAAGGACCCGGCACGCGTTCTCCTCCCGCCCCGCGTACAGCCCCCCACCACTGCCCCCACCCCGTTGGCCCGCTCTCCGAAGATTCGTTACCTGAGCTCTCAGCCTTTCCAGCCCAGGACCCCCAGCCCGCGCGACCCGACCCCTGCTCTAGCCCCACGCACGCGCAGTATCTACCCGGTGGCCATGCTTCCGCTTTCCTCTTCTCACCCGGGTCTCTCCTGGGCGGTCCGCCCCTCTACACCACGCCCCCATTTAAAGGGCCAGAGATACACTGTCTCACCCCAGGGACTTCTGGCGTGATTAACATCGTTAGGAACCGGAGAGTGGAAACGTCAGAGGAGGAGAGTAGACCAATAAATAGTAGTCCGTTAGATGAGAAGAGAAACCCTCCTCTAGCCCAATGTCAGTGAATTTATCTAGCATTTAAGAAAGTGAACCTATCTTCAGCCAGCCCAGAAAGGGTAGTTGATTCCCAACCAGTAATTTTTAATTTTAATCTTTTTAAATACGAATATAGAATTACCAGCTTTTTATTTTGCCAAATAAAGACAATTAGCACACACACACTAGAAATCAACTATTATTTTCTAATTTACCGTCAACATTGCTCCATAAAAATACATCTTAACAGCAAAAGTATAGGAGAGATACGCTCTCAAATAAAGGAGAGATCTTTAAAATGGATAGAAATATGTTTATTTCTCTTATTCCTCCTCAAGAAAGATGAACACTTTCAGGACAGACTGGTTTTTAGAGGCACCACTCTAGATAACCTGGGCCCCAGGACACAGATCTTATGCCTACTGGGGCCTATGGTCAAGGAAATAGAAGGAGGAAGCACACCAGAAAATGTTCCTGGAAGGAGATAGAGAAAATATTCAGTTGGGGAGACATTTATTGAGCATCAATCCAGTTCACTATACTTCTGGGTCTTTGAAGGACCCAAAGGTGGGTAAGACACAGCCCTGCCCTCCAGGTACTCTAAGAACTCAGTGTACAGACAAAGCTACAGTGCAAGGCAGGCTGTTTTGAGTGCTATAAGAAAGGTATGAGATCATCATTTCAGGATCACACATGAGGGAAAATGGGGAACACTTCAGGGAGGATGTCTTATTAGGATGCTGAAGGATTTCAGTAGGCAGAGAGCAGGGAGAATTCCTAGCTGAGGGAACAGTGGGATTAAAGGCAGTACAAAGCAAGATTGGAGACAAGCTGCTGGCCTGATGTGGCTCTGACATGGGCAGTGGCTTTCAAATTTTTTGATCATCACTCACAGTAAGAAATACATTTCAGCTATGACCTAGTAACCTAGCGTGTGTGTGTGTGTGCGTGCATGTGTGTACACCCTGTGACATTGTCTTTAGTATGTGCAATGCAACTTGGTATTTTCTATTTTTTTTTTTGATGCTGGTTAAAAAATTGATTTCATGACACTAATACATAGCAACCCATAGCTTGAAAGCACTGGTGTAGAGTGTGTTAGAGGTACAAAAGGCTCGAACCAGATCCAGGAGGGCATTAATGCCAAGCTGGTGGGTCTGATCTTCTGGTAAGAGCCTTTGGAAGTTCTTAAGCAGAGGAGTGGCATAACTGTAGGTGTACTTTAGAACTCTGGAGACCTGTCTTTAGTTCTGAATATCACATTTTTAGAGGAAACTGATTAAACAGGAGCCTGTCTGGAGCAAGGTAAGCAGGCTGGTGAAATCGGAGACCCTGACAGAGAACAGCTGAAAGTGTTAGGCAGAGAGGAAATTGACAGAAGTAGGGGGAGCTGGGTTATGGAGGTGGGAGGTGGGGAAGGTTGCTAACTGACCTTCTTGAAACATCTCTGCACCAGTTGTAAACTTACTCTGTGTAACTCTAGAAAGTAGACCTGGGACCTGTGGATAGATGTTGTAGGGAAGCAATTCCAACTCACAGTCAGGAGTGTTTTAGCATGGTCCAACTGACATGCTGTCCTTTATAGGGCTGTTTACATTAATTAAAAAAATGAAACTGTTGTATACTTATTATTGAAAACTTGAAAGAATCAGGAAATATAAAAAGTAAAGCATAAATTACCCACATTTCAGGAAAAAAAGCACTCATGGTTTTGACTTATTTTCGTTGGGTCTTTTACTTTGCATATTTATATTTTTTATATAATAGAACTATATAGAAAATATAGTACTGTACTCTGCTTTTTATTTTGTCCTCAATGTTATATCTTTTGGGGTTTTTTTTAATTTTATAGAAATACAGTTGATTTACAATGTTGTGTTAATTTCTGGTGTACAGCAAAGTGATTCAGTTATATATATATTCTTTTTCATACTCTTTTCCATTATGGTTTATCACAGGATATTGAATATAGTTCCCTGTGCTATACAGCAGGACCTTGTTGTTTATCCATTCTGTATATAGTAGTTTGAGTCTGCTAATCCCAAACTCCCAATCCTTCCCTTCCCCACGGCAACTACAAGTCTGTTCTCTATGTCTGTGAGTTTGTTTTTGTTTCATAGATATGTTCATTGGTGTCATATTTTAGATTATACATATAAGTGATATCATATGGTATTTGTCTTTCCCTTTCTGACTTACTTCGCTTAGTATAATAGTCTCCAGGTCCATATGCGTTGCTGCAAATGGCATTATTTCTCAATGTTAGATCTTGAAAATTATATACTGTTATTCAAATTGTTCACAAATATTTGTAATGCCTACATAATTGTTGATAATATAGTTGATGTCATTATTTTTGGACATTAGGGGGGGTTCCTATTTTTCACTGTTAACAGGAACAGGGCCATGAATATCTTTATACAGAAATCTTTGCCCACATTTCAAAATTATTCCCCTAGTATAAAAACCTGTAAGTGAAATTACTGATTCAAATGCTTTGAAAGCTCTTAAGTCTGTGAATACCTACTGCCAAATTTCTTTCCAGAAAATTCAGGCCAGTTTTCATTCTCACCAAAAGTGTTCAAGGGTGCCCATCACACATACCCACCAGCATTTATTTTATCCTTTTAAAAAGCTTTGCCAGTTTGATAGTGGAAGTGGCTCTAATTTTAATTTGTATTGGATTACTAGTGCGGTGGAATCTCTTTATGAATTTATCAACCCTTTATAGTTATTCTGTGACTGCAATTTCACCGCCTCTGTTTGGACTTGTGATTGGCAAATAGCACTAAGTGAATTGTTGCAGACGTATGAGAAAAAAAAACACAAAGGGACTTAAAAAACAAATGATGTGGTCACACCAAGTTATAGCCAAATTATATTGTGGTGTACCATACAAACAAAGGTTAGTGGGAGAACTGAGTCATCACAAAGTATGTGGTTAAACAGGTCCGTGCTATTGCAGTCAGTAAAATATTTATGTTGTGAGGGGCAATTTGGTTTCAGCAAAACACCATTCCTTATATTAAGTCAACATTGTAAATTTTAATTTCCCCATTTGGTAGTTCTGTTTGTATTTACTTTATAAATTTGTTTTGGATTTATAGATGCATAAAATTTATAAAAATGAATCTTTTCCTTAGTTTTGTGTTTACATATACACACATATACATATATGTGTATGCAACATCATAAAAAATAATTTAAGCCAACTCTAGAGATCCATGAGACTCTTTTTCCCTTACAAGGAACCTGAACATTATTTAAGTTTGAGAAACGTTGGTATTAGAGTTTTCTTAAAACTTCATTTGTCATTATGTAAATATAGGCATTGGGATTTTAAAAAAAGAAGAAAAAGGTAAAAGTGGCGTCAGCTTATATATTGGATTTTTCTACACTGAATATTGTTATGATTTGCTTGCCTTTGGAAAGAGCACCAAAAGCTATACTATGTTTAGGGTTCAGAGAGTATGTTTTGGCTTAAAATGTACCATTCGTCAAAGTTAACTTTGCACAGGTCATTAAGACCTAGACAGAAGAATTTTGGGCTTTATTAAACTTGTCTTTTTAAGTAAGACAAAGCAGTTGAGCAGTTAGCAATTAAAATGGAACCTCTGTGAAGTGGTCTTAAGAGAAATTAAACCCATGAGAAAAAGGCCCCACATGCAATGTAGGAGCCTTGGGGCGTGGGAATCAGTGAGGGCGGGCCGATGGCCAGGAGCTAGAAGGGCAGCACCACTGAAGGAATGCTGCAGAAGGATGATGTCCTGATACCCAACACAACTCTTCCAGCTTTCCCCAAGGCAGGAGGGATGGAGAGCATGGTCCAGACATTGCTATTACATTGTATCCAGAGTAAGCCACATTTATCCTGAAGGAAAAAATGTCTGGGGCCTGAGAATGAGAGAAAGAGACTAGGAGGTGAATAGTTGTGCCATTTCTTTCTTTGTTCACAATCACAAAATAAATTGGCCTCTTTTCCTTTTTAAAAAAGGAACCTGATGTACAGGGTTCTTAGTGGGTCAGAGCACCCAAGACAGCTGGAGAGAAGTGAAATTGGTTATCTGTAAGTTACTCAAGCTGGTCCAGATGTCATTCTCAGGTTCCCTCTGCCTGGAATGCTCTTTCCCCAAGGTAACTACATGGCTCACACCCTCAGCTTCTTTGGGACTTTGTTCAAATGCCACTGTGTTAGTCAGGGCAACAAATGCAAAGCAGATGGGGGTGAAGTACTCTCCTCCATCCAGGACACAGGGACCAAGGTTCTTCCCATCTGGTGACACTCTTTGTTGAACTCATGGCCTCTAAGTTCTCTGAGGCAGGAAGATGGAAAAGGCTTACTAGCTCTAAACCGCCTTGGCCTGAAAATATGTACCACTTCTGCTCTCAGTCCATTGGCCAACAGCAGCCACCTGGCCCTGCTTTACCACAATGGAAGCCAGGAAGTGTAGGGGAATACTCAGGATATCTGGGAAGCACACGTGACTCTCCCACAGACCACCCCTCTTTCCCCCAGGACTCACTCACCACCCTTTCAGACTTTATTGTCTTCCATAGTACTTACCATCCTCCAAAATGCTGTATATTTTACTTATTTATCTCTTAAGTTTCTGCCTTCCCCACTAGTACATAAGCACCATGAGAGTGGAGATTTTCATCTGTTTCATTTATGTTTTTATCCTTAACATCTAGAACAGTACTTGGCATATGGTAAGAGCTCCATAATTTTTTATTAAATAAATGAATGAATTCTGCAATAACAGTTTATATTTGTGTGTGGTGGGGTA